TAGTCTACTTGTTGCAAAAAAATTCAGAAGACTGTAAATGACTTCTTCCAAAGCTAAGTTGAAGGAGGGCAGTGTACCATCTATCCAGGTAATGAATACTTCAACATCTAGTCTTAATTTTCATTTTCAGAAAGAAAAGTAAGTAGAGATGAAGCACCATTGTAGTTGCATTTCAGGTAGCAAGAGGTAAATGTGACTTACCTTCCACAGCACAGTAACTGAATGCTGTAGTGAGTCTCAGACAGAACGGTTTTACCCCAAAAGGTATCGGTGCCACCGCCATGTATTTTGGTAAGCTTTTGAGTGCAGCAGCATTTCAGACAGACCTCCACTTAAGGGAAAGGTTGCTCATATTTTTATTTCTTTGCTACCCAGCTTTTTGGGCTTTCCACATACCACAGGTTGCAATTCCAGATTTTTGAAAATAACCTGGAAGAATATTAATTTTTGTCTCAAAACACTTAAGTTATTTCTGCAATTCTGCCATCAGGCATTTTCCACATTTCCTTCCTTTTTTTTTTTCTATGCTTGTTTTTCTTCATACTCATCCTTCCTCCTAAACACAGGCATAAACTGTACTGTGTAAAACTAGATGTTCTGGTTTCCATCTGTTATTTATGAATGTTCCATTTCTGTACAAGATTCATATTTTTTTATTGCTTCTAATTAATTGCTTTTGCTGCAAAAAAAATCTGTACGTGGGGTGTGTGGTTGCAGCCACAAGGGGGCATCAGATAGTAAATGGGTACTCGGACTTGTTAAAAGTATTTTAGGTCTCAAAGATTAGGAACGAAGCAACTTCCGCACTTTCAGTCATTGTCACATTATGGGAGGACATATATATGCATATATATTGAGAGAGAAAAGTGTTTGGTTGCAGGAGCTTCAGAAACTTATCAAAATGAAATAATTCAGCACTCATTTCTCTCATACTTGTAGAGCAAAAGTCCAAAACTAAAAATCACTGTAGCTTCTGGAAAGACCCGGTAAAGAATTACCTTCCCTGGACTGTTAAAGTTTTTTTTAAAATGTATATCCATCAACCTGCTGTCATACTAGTCTGTCTTGCAACATCTTTTGGAATATTATGTACAGATAAAATGTGGACTAGTTGGGCACAGCTTCCAGGACAGTGGCTACTTTTGCAAAGTTAAATCCAGATTTTCTTAGAAGACAAATTCTTTCCCACTAAAGCAAGTGAAAATGTTTAACAACAGGTGATGAAGATTTCTTTTAAAATCACTTTTTCACTGAGACCATCTGGTGAAATATTTGAGCTATCCCAATGTTGTGGTTTAACCTCAGTCAGCAACTGAGCACCACACAGCCGCTCACTCACCCACCCCCAGT